GGCACACTTGCTAGCTGGGAGGGACAGACAACACATGAAACAAATAGCACAACATACTAGAAGATAAGAATTGGCTACAAAGAAAAATAAATTAAAAATGGAGCACAGGGGGGGCAAGCAGGGGGCATAGCGGTTAAAGCACTGAGCCCGCTACAAAGAAAAATAAATTAAAAATGGAGCACAGGGGGGCCAGCAGGTGGCATAGCGGTTAAGGCACTGAGCTCCCACGTGGTCGACTGCGGTTCGAGTCCTGGACCTGGTGGCTTGAAACTCACGCTTGGCATGTATGTGTGCATGCCCAAAATCCAGAGAGGAGAATGGAGAAGGGATTGCAGCATGGCCTTGCTCCCGGAAGGGATATTTCTCACTTTCTGTTGGTCTCTCTCTGTCTCCAGCAAGAACACATGCCTTAAAGCGAAAATCTCTCTTAAAGAAAAGAATGTAGGATGTGCCAGAGATAGGAATGCACTGTTTTGTTTGTTTTTTAATTTCGTTTTGGGTTTTTTGTTGTTTTTTTTTTTTTAGTTTTTAGTTTTGTTTGCTATCGAGCACATATACTCCCCAGAGAGAGGAAAAGAAAAAGAGGAAAAGTAAGAAATCACCCTTTGGGGGAATGCCCACACCAAAATTCCTTTTCTCCAGCCTTCTGTTGGGATTGTGGGCATGCATGTACATATGCCCAGTGAGATTTTCAAACTGCCAGATCTGGAACTTGAGCCATGCTACCAGCCATTGTCTTAACCTCCATGGCACCTGCCGTCTTAGGAGTGTACTTTTAAGTAGAGTTAGTGGGAAAAAACACCTCCCTGAGAAAATATGTACTGGGTCATCACAATATGTGGCCATATGTACATCTACACATGTATCCATATATGCAATATATATTAATAAATTGGTGGCAAATACATTTCTTTTTAAGTTTGATAGTGCATTTAACATAATTTCATGTGTTGCTTTGGACTCAGCTCGGAATAGCTAGCTGAAGAGTATAATTTAAAAAGTCCCACAAGCCGCCTCCTACCACCTTTCTTTTTATTAAAAAAAAAGGTTCTCATGACATATCTTCATACCATTCCTAGCTTTTGCTTTTCTCCTTTGGGTTCAAGCAATGATTTTAAAACGTGTGTGCACATCAGAATCACCTACAGGACTTGTTTTAACAGGTTGCTGGGCCTGACCCCCAGAGTCTGTGACTTAGTAGGCCTAGGGTGAATACACAAATCTGCATGTCGAACCAATTCCCAGGTAATCCCGATGCTGCTGATCTATGGACCACACTTTAGGAATCACGCTAAAGTTATAGCTGTGAGTTTCCTGTTAAAATAAACTATTACCTGAGATGCATGGGCATTATCAGAGTAGCTATCTTAAAGAACAGAATCCTTAAGAAATGGGACTAGTTTTTAAACTGGGGTAAGTTTCAGAAGCTACAGCCCAAGACCCTAAGCACTGAGATGTTAGGAGAAGAGACAGGCTATAAAAAAGGGTGCTAATGCCATGTCATTGATGGCCTATCACTGTTTTGCAGTTTCATAACATATAATACCCTTACAAGCCCTTTTGCCCACTGCTTTCTCCTTATCAGTTAATCTATTAGGAAGGAAGAGCAGGTGTCTCATTAGGTCATCGAGAAAGTCATGACATAATTTTCAAGACTACATACCATTCCTTTACTTCTTTCTTTATATGTTTAAAGGGATTACAATATTAAATATCAATATATGTTGCTTCTTTAGAAAATTTGTCATTTAAACAATTACAATTTCCTGTTAAAAAAAATAGAATTGGGCACCAGCAGATGGTGTGATGATTACATCACTGGACTCCCACATAGTCAACCATGGTTCGAGTCTTGGACCTGGTGGCTTAAAACTCATGCTGGACATATGTGCACGCATACCCAAGATCCCGAGAGAATGGAGGAGAAGGGATTGTGGCGTGGCCATCCCTCCTGGTGGGTGATTTCTCACTTTCTGTCTCTCTCTGTCTCTCTGGAAAGCACACATGCCCTATAGCACATATCTCTCTTAAAAAGGTAATAAAAAAATAAATAAATAAAAAGTAGAATTGTCCCAGCTCCTAACCCCTTTGCTTCTTTATAGTTCTATCACCCAAGTGTGAATCTCTAGAAATTATGGTTTAGTCTTGCTATTAAAAAATTATATCTGGAAAAAAAAAATGTGTCATGACTTTTTCGATGACCCAATGTATCTTACAGATAAGAAAATTGAGACACAAATAAATTTTGTGGTCTCCCTCGGGCTACCAAGTCTGAGAACCCCAGTAGCTCTGCTCCTTATCCAGTGTCCTTTCTCCATCAACACTCATTATGACACTAGCTGTAGCATCCTCCTGAGACACTGCCCCAAATCATTAAAATCCAGGACACGGGTCAGCCCACAGCCTGGTAGTTAAGGTGCTGGATCCGTCATGGCTGACTGCATGGTCAGAGTCCTGGGCCTGGTGGCAGAAGCAAGGCACATGTGCATTCGTGCCCAAGATCCTGAAAGGAGGGAGAAATGGAGAAGGAATTGTGTTCTGACCATGCAACCATGGCAGGTTGCTTTCTCTTGCTCTTGCTCTCTCTCTCTCTCTTCCTCTCTTTCTCTCTCTCTTTCTCTGCTGAGTACATGCACCCTCTAGAAAATTTAAAACAAAAAATTCAGAACACAGAGTTGCTCTTTGCCTTCCCCCTTGCTGAAAGTAGATTATTCTTATGCATGATTAACCGTGGCAAGTCTGAGGCCCCACATGAGTTTCCTCTGCCGTAAACACATTACTTCTTCTACCAGGTATTATACAGAGAAAATGCTAATTCATTTTGTTATTACCCTAAGCTAGAACTAATCATTATGAAAGCAAACCTGCTGAGGGAAAAGCACACAAAATACTTTCCAAAAGCAAACAGAACTGACATTTTGATTATATGTACCATTGCTTCCATTCCATTGGTAGTGATAATTGAAAGTCTTCAAGCACCCAACAAAATTTGAGTGGATTTTGACAAACCTGATGATTGATGAATCATATTTTTGGATATTGAAATTTATCTCCCCACCCCTACCCCATGGAAATAAAGGATAAAATTCTCCTTCCCAGTACTTGACCCTCTGGTCATTTTCTGCATTCCTACACTGATTGCTCATGGTGAAAGCATGTCACCCATTGAATCTCATGATGGTGACCCTTTGGGTCACAAGAATTGTCTCCATTAAGCTTCTATCCTGTATTCAGTCATCCAGGAGTCCAAAGTTTTAGGAGTTTAAATCTTAAAGCCACCTCATATGTCTCCCAAGTCACTGACATTCTGCCATCTTCCTCCTGTGGTGTCACTGGAACTACACAGTAAACATTCATTAACCCCTTACTGTACAGCAGACACTATAAGAGCCACTGACTGGGCTACAGAAATGAGTTAGGAATAATTTTGTTTGTTTTAGTTTTTTTCTATAGGTTACATGCACTCACTGGAGAGAGTGAGAGAGAAAAGGAAAATGAGAACGCATCCCCCAGGGGAAGCAGCCATACCACAGTCCCTTCTACTCCATTCTCCCCTCAGGATTTTGGGCACACACACAGACTTTCCCCGTGTGTTTTTCAAGCCACAGGGTCTGGGACTCAAACTGCTCAGTTGGCTGTGTGGGATCCAGCTGCCTTAACCACCACACCACCAGCTGGTGCAGGAATAATCTTATCCTGCATATAATAGAACTACTCTCTGCCATGTAGAATAGTCTGCATTTGGGTATCTAGATGTGAGTTACAGTCCCAGGTGAGCTGCTCCTCAGTTTTATTCTCTATACTCACTGTGTGCTCAAAGAAAACAAATTGATGAGTTCCTTAAGTTTCAACATAAAATGAGCACCACTGGGAAAGAAAATATGCCTTGAAAAGAGAAAAATGGGATAAAAAAGAAACCCTAGTCTGGACTTCTGAGCGCACACGAGGGTAGGTATGTATCCACCACCCAAAAGCATGGGAGCAAGGGGTCAGGGTAGAGTCTATACCTGTCCACTCCATGTGTGGACCATGGAACCGAGTGAATGAGGTCATAAAGCTTGATGATTAAAAATTCTATATTGATGAAAGATTCAGCATGAATGGGTTTCAGCTGAGCTTAGAGTCCAAAGTATGCTATGAAAATGACTATTTCTTTAAAAAATAAAAAGTTGATGTCTATTTCAACATAGGGACTGAGCATATCAGAAAATAGGTTGGGTTGAGTGAGAGTGGGATGCAGAGAACACAATTAGCTAGGTCAGTAATAGAGGATTCATGAGAAGAAACTCAGACCATAATCCAACTGTGTGTGTGTATGTGTGTGTGCACATGTGTGCGTGCGTGCACACATGTGCACATAGGTGCATACAAATGCACAGGAAAGGTGTTGAAGGCCAGTAAGAAGGATTTTATGAGTATGTAGATCCTTTAAATAAATTCCAGTAATCCAGAAAAGAACACAAAATTGGAAAATCAAAAAACCTAGTTGGAATTAGAGGATATGATTGTGTTCTTATCCTCCTGATGACCAAGTGGCTCAAAGAATACGACTCATACACCTGTGTCCTATTCACGTTGGACCCCCTGGGTGTGAGCAGCTTTCAGTCTCTTAGTGGCATAAAAGGGCTGATTAGGCCTTGACACTGCTCATCTTGAGGTTGGGCTTTATGAATCCTGGAGTCCAGAGTCGGGAATTCAAATAGGCCAAATACACAGCTAGATGTCAGAGTCATCTTTTGAACACTGTTTCTGATCTCTAAGCTTACCAGTTACAGCCAGGCCTACCACAAGTGAATGTGGTCTTGGATAGCTGTAGCTACAGGGAGAATTTGGAGGGTTCGAAGTAGCAGTGACTGGAGAGGGAGTTTCTGGGTGTCTTCCTTAGAGTTTCTAAGATGGTGGAATAAGGAATGTTATTCTTTTATTGAGAATGTCCAGAGATTCTGTTGCCTGTTGATGTTTTGATGGTTTTTCTAAGCGTAACGTGAAGCTTTTAGATTTGGCTATACTGAGTTCAGCTTAGTTGTTAAGACATGCATCAGTCAAGGGAGGTACCAGGGTGGGAGTAGGAGGTAAAATATAGTTGATGTGTAAACAACTTTAGGTTGTGATATGGCACTCTCACTCAGAGCTCCCATCAGTATGCACTCTAGGAGTTACTCTGGTATCTTCTAGATTCACTAGGACTTCCACAGGCATGTTGGCCCTGCGAGGAGCAAGCAAGTTGTTGGTAAATTTTTTTTTTACATAGTTGAATTCTTCCAAAGTCAGCTATCAATGGAAATAGGAGGCTATGTACCTCTTAGACTTTTACCTTGTTCTTATTTGGCATTAAGGATGTTGACGTATTGGTTTAATGTTGGTATTTCTGGGATTATCAAACAGAAAACTTGTTGGCAAGCCATAGATATAAGCCTCAAAGCCAGGCTGTCGCATATGATCTACATACCATCTATCCTCCCAGAAAGGCCTCACAGGCTTAGAGTTGCAACAGGTCATTAAAAAGGGAGGCCCCAAGACCAGCAGTTATAATGGCTATGTTGCTGGACTCCCATGTAGTTCATCGCAGTTCAAGTCCCGAACCCGGTGGCTTAAATCCACCCCAGGCACGTGTGCATGCAAGCGTGCCCAAGGCCCTGAGAGGAGAATGGAGGAGAAGAGATTGCAGCAAGGCCATCCCCCCAGGGAGGGGTGATTTCTCACTTTCTGTCTCTCTGTTTCTCTGTGTCTTTTCTCGCTTTCTGTCTCTCTGTCTCTGGTTTTTTTGGTGGCACCCGTGCCCTATAGCAAAAACCTCCCCAAAAAAAAAAAAAAAAAAAGGAGATCCTTACAGTGTCTGGTTGGTTGGTGTTACAGAATAAAGTAAGTTGGTGGGTTCCAGCTTACTGACACAGCAAAAGGCTGTTTGTAGGGCAAGACAGATGCACAGCCTTCTTGAGACTGCCATCAAGCCAGAAATCTAGCATTTCTGACTCCTGAGGAGTCAGTGATCCAGAAATTAAAGTGAGAAGATCATTAGCCCAATGATCCTGACAGTATTACAAAGAGGATTTCTTAGACCACCCCATGCCCCATTTTCCCATCGTATTCCAGTGCTCACATTTGACTCTAATAGTAAAACATCTGGATAACTGATTTCTTCTGTTAAATGTCTTATCAAACAATGCATCTGGAATCAGGGCTGGTGGAGGGAGGGAAGGTGTGAAAGGTTGAGATGGGATGGTACCAGTATCACATTAGGGACATCCGTGACGTAAATGTTTGACATTGATGAAGGTTGTCAAGGATTATACCCAAAATAATGTAATGATCTGGGTTCGAGAAGGTCCCTCATCTATCAGACTATGGAAATGGCTCATATATCCTACAAAGGTCAATAAAAGGATCCTTTGATCAAAAAGCAAGTATTGCTGATAATTAGTGACTCTAAAGAAATACTGGGTATCCACCATGTTCATTTATTTATTCCTCCAACGCATGTTTGTTAAGTACCTATTATGTGCCTGGCACTATTCTAGACAGAAAACAACAACAACAAAAATAAAAACAAAAACGAGAATCTCTGCCTTCCTAGAACATACATTCTGGTGGAATACAAAGAAAGACGTGACATATATAAAATGCCTGGTGGTGATGATATGGAGAGAAATGTAGCTGCAAAGCAGTGTAGGTAGTGCGGGGGATGAGGGACAGGGCGGGAGGACTCATGCTCCAGTGACTGACACTTAGGGCTACAGAGCACTGAAGTTCCCCACTCACTGCAGGTGTGTGTACTGAGACCCATGACCCCTGAAACCACAGAGAGTACTGGACCCTGTATATATCATTTTTTCCTATACATACATACATACCTTTAATAAAGTTTAGCTTACAAATTAGGCATATTAAAATATTAATAACAATAAATAATAAAGTAAGATAATTATAAAAATATGCTATAATAAGTTACTTAAAGCTTATGAATTATTTATTTCTAGAAATTTTTCTTAAAAATTTCAGCCTGTGGTTGACCACAGGTGACTGAAACTGTGGAAAGTGAACCCATAGCTAAGGAGAGGACTATGGGTTTAGTGAAATTAGGCCAGGTAGTAAGGCAGAGAGTTGCAATGAGGCTGTGAGTGTTGGAGGAGAGGGCGGGATGAGGGTTCTGCTGGAAGCACACACACAGTTTTACTTCAGTACTCCGTAAAAGTGTGAAGACCTGGGGAGGGACAATTTTATCTAGGAGCAGGTAGGGGCTCTCAGGTAAGATGGCTTCTCCCAAGTCTTTGTGCTTCCATTGAAGCAAAGATGGTACCCTAGAATGTGCCCCAGAAGTCAAGTGGGAACCTCAGACTATTCCCTCAGCCTCCACAGGAGTTAAGAGAAACCTTTTGGGTATGATACTGGCCTAAGCTAGAAGAATCTGGACTCCATTCAAAATAATGGGTCCCTCACTTATGGTGTGGTTAATCCTCAAGTTCAGATGGTGAGGTTCTTGAAAATAAAACAAGGATTAGCCCAAATTCTGTATGGATTTCAGAACCAAGAGCTCATAGAATACTCTTTATGAATTTCTGAAATTTCAAAGAGGCATTATAGATTCTGAGGAATAGGATATTTGCTTCATCCTTAAGCAGTTTCAGGTATTAGTTCCCTCTGGTTACTTCCCCAGTTCCCAGACCTTCCAGTCCAGCTTGACAGAAGTTCAGCAGTGGCAGGAAGCGCAGTTGCCAGCCATGTGTGCTGGGAACCCATTGCAGTCACCAGTGCAGACAGAGAATCCAAGTCTTCCTTGTCACAAACAGAGCAAGGCCCCAGGAGACCCAGTGAAGAGAGGTAGGAATTCCTATTAGAATCTTGGGATAATAATTCATATAGCATCTGTTCTTGGGCCTAAGTAATAGATAAACTTAACCTGGGCCTGAGTCCCTGATAGCAAGAAGATGCCTCAGTCACAGCTGTGGTATAAGTGGAGCTTCCCCATGTTCTGTCCCAAACCTCACTTCTGACTCATTAAATTTATGCAGCAATATTTAAAGTTAAGGCCAATCTGGCTCTCTCCTCCACACTGCTTCAGTTTGCCCTCATGAGACAAGCTTTTGAGGTTGAAGCCAATGAAAGAGGGACTCAGGGTATCAGCATGCATGGGCATGCACATTCACACATGCACACACACAGCCTCCCGTTCATTCTGTAATGGTTCCCATCTAAGGCTAAGGCTTCTCTCTAGAGAGAGAAATTACAAGATTAAGTCCAGGAGGTTGTCTTCCATGGATGTATAAGAAAAATAGGTGTTGGGCCAACTGGTTGATCCAACTGGCCAACAGCTGGATCCTACATAGCCAACTTCATAGTTCAAATCATGAACCCAGCAGCTTTAAAAACACCCCAGGTGTACATGTGTGTGTACTCAGACTCCTGAAAAGAAAATGGAGAAAAAGGGATTGCGCCATGGCTATCCCCCATGGGGGTGGCAGGGTGGTTGGGCTCATTTACTCTATTTCTCTCTCTATCTTTCCAATGAGTGCACACACTCTTGAGCGAAATATTTTTTTAAAAAAGAAAAACAAATGTCAAATGTCATTGGTTAGCTCTTCCAGAGGAGGAGACAGCATGGGACAAATTCAATCCAACTCAGGAGCCAAATGGTATAATAGCAAACAAAATCACATTCTCCTTGTGGCTATGAGAAATCAAATGTGACATTTGTTTTTTTCTATTTTATTGGATCAACACATGTGTTCAGCTGTGAGATTCTAACCAGACCTAATATAGGTGAACCACGTTTTTGGCCAGCTCTGTTAAAATTTTATTCTTGAACATGACTCAAACTTCATCTATAGAAAGCAAAAGTTTTTGAGCCAATATGGAGATGTAGATCATTAGATGGGTGAGGAACCAATATATTGGATCATTGGGAAAGTCATGATGCATTTTTGCATAGGAAAACATAGAACAGTACACCATGACTTTTCCAATGACCCAATA